TTACAAACCAGTCTGTTGTGCTTAAGCAAATGAATTAACTTCACTCCTGGTCCAGGAGAGGTGCATCCCTCTAGGTTTTATGGACAATTAGTCTTAAAAGCAATTATAACAATGGCCAATTAAGTCAGTGTTTCATCGCATTATTTCATTAGATGCTCATGTTAGAATGGAACCTAGAATACCTTCTGGAACGAGGAGTGAGCTCTGACTAGGACATGAGTACTAGTCTTCTCCTTGGTCATGCATAACCTTTTCCCTGTGCAGTGTCACAGTGCTTATTTAATGTGCTGTACCTGGCTGTATTTGAGATTGACACTGTTCCCTTCCCTTGGTGTGCCTGTCCCTCACTGCAGTACTTGTAAAACTGAGACAATAAAGGTAGACGTTTCTGCTTAAGATCACACTGGATGGTACAGTGGAGTGGCGGCAGAGGAAATGAGACGCTGTTCTCTGCTGGTTACCTCAGTACTTCATGCAGCTTTCCTATCTGCTCACATCAGATAGTGTTTAAGGTATTTTTTTAAAATAGATTTTGAAAATAGATTCCAGAACTGGTTATGCATCCAAAAAATGTGAGGCGGAGACATATAACATCCTGACATGAAGAGGCTGATTTACAGATTTGTAATTGGCAGCTGTAGATGGTCAGAGATGTAACTGTAATGTTGGTTTAGCAATAAATTAATGGAGTGTCTCAAATAATGACATGCCAGCAGTGACAGGGAAGACAGCAGGGCAGACCAACACCATATGGAGCATTTTGCATTCAGGGCAAGGAAGGTGTTGGCTTTAGGATGAGTTGAGAATCTGCACTCTTGGAATGAACCAATGGTCTTCACGTACTGTATAGCGCATTGAAAGTTCAGTGTATTAGAACCAGTGCTTCCCTTTCCCACCACTAGAGGTCGCCAGTATTTTAGCCCAATGTCTACTTCAGCCTTTCCAATGGACGGACAGGAGGAAATCCTCATTTTGACCTCGTGCTGGACATTGCATGCTGTATTAGTTGCATGCCAAAAAAGAGGTTTTTAAGTGCATAAGGTTTGCTCTACAGCATTGGCTGATTTTGTGTCCATGATTGTAAATGTTTGAACCATTCTTTACCATAGCCCCCTGCAATTAACACAGTTTTTCTAACAACTTTTCTTCACTTTATTGCACTTTGCCATGATTGCACCTAGGCAGTCACCATTTTCAGCCACACTCGAACCATTTTTGTCACATTCCATCTCTGAAGTATAAAGGAACACCTGCGATAGGTGTTCCTGTTCTGTAGTCTGCATCTCTTAATTTTGCTTCAGGTGTAGCCCCCTCTAGAGGTGAACTGTAGAAGTGAGACAACACTCCAAGCCAGTCAGCCAGTGCTGTGTTCTCATTTGGTGCTTGTTAGGCCAGCCCTCAGCCATCTCTGATTTTTTTTTTACAATAGCTTCTGTGCTGCATTGTTAGGTCTGTGAGGTCAGAGATTATTGTATACTGGCTTCTATATAGACAATACATATTGCACACAGCTGCATTGATGTATAATAATTATAAAGATATTGGAAAAATATGTGCACTTACTGATGTGATATCTTCATTTAAATATTTGATGGCTTTTTCATGATTCTTATTAAAACAGACATGTCAAAGTGTTGTTTGCCTTCCAAGGGCAATAATGCCTTCATTTTCATATTCTGCTTGAAAGCAAGTCAAATGTAATCAAGTGAAAAGGCAGATGAGCACTGGCTCTGAGTTCACACTGACATTCCCTGTGTTTGGGGACTGTAGGGGTCTGGAAACTGCTGATAACCAGCTTCTTTTGAGAAATGGCTGGACGAGACCATTGGTGCCATTAACTTCTATCAAGCCATATGAGCTATATGGGTCAAATGGCCTTCTCTATATCCTCTATATACCAGCATACTTTCTTAAGTTGGTATATTCTAAATACCAGCATACTTTCTTATGCTGTTATGTTACAGCCCTGGAGGTGTTGTAAAGGTTTAGATCAGCACAGTGCACGTTTTGGGAGTGATCACACTTGAGAAAAGGCAGTCCAGGGCTGGGTTAAAACACACATGTGGAAATGAGTCTTTGTTTTCTTGGAAGAAAAACACCTTTCCAGCTCATATCTTATCTTCATCCAGGGCTGCACAGCTTGAGGTGTGATAGATCTCCCACTTCCTTTGTAGCTCATCCGCTTGCATCTAGAGTGAACGTCTTGTTCCTTCAGCAGATCCTAGTGTGAATATCAGATTTGACCTGAACAAAGGCAAAAGAATAAGGTAATTTCACAGCTTTCTTGCTGCAGGGCAAAATCTGATCCCTCCCATTTTATGAATATCATGCAATTTTATGAAAGACTACTGGTAAGGTGTTAGTATGTATTAAGAGCATGTTGAATAAATGTAGAGGTAGAGAAAATGGTGTTTTGCAGAAAGGAAGAGCTGAAAGGAGTTCTGAATGAGTATCGTTTCCACATAAGACAAAACATTGCCTGTATGGTATGGTAATAAAAATAAAAATTAAATGGGTACTGTTGCGCTGGGTTTACATACAGTAGATGAATGTTTATGATACATAATGTAAGTGTAGACAAGCATTTTCCATTGTGATAAGCAGATCTTGGAATTCCTAATCTTTACTACAGTTCTAACAATAGGGTATGAAAGGATTCATGTCTGATAGTGAATTTAAGGATCATTTTTAATTGGCTGCTTATTTCCCCCTGTCCTCATGTTCTTGAAATTCCAGGGTGTGTTTAATTGCTTCCCCTCAAGCAAGTCACGAAAGAGACAGTTAACAAGCGTGTGATGCTGTCATAGTTTTGTTAATACAGATCAGAAAGATTAGATTTTTTCAGTTGTTTGAGCAGTAATTAGGAAGTTAACAGGAGGGTCCTTCTTGGGGAAACTGATAGAAGGATAATTTGGTTTATTGAGGACCTTAGAGCCCTGAGAGCCTGTTTTATTGCAAATTTCACCCTAATTTAAAACTTTCTGATCACGCAGCCCATTTCCCTACAAGGCTCACGGGTGATTGTTTCAGCATTATTACAGATATGACCTCACCCACTTTATTCCTACTGTCGAATTTGAGCTGCACCCCTTAAAAATGAACCTCTGTTCCCTTCAACAAGTTTGCTTCCCATAGTTTACTTGTGTTGAATTGATGCTACACACTTGGTGGAGGTTACCTATGGCTCTGTAAGGAACAGTACCCAGTGGCACGACACGCCTGTAGTGCGGATTTACATGGAGGTCATTTTATTATTAGAATTAGATGCTTCTGAAGGTAATATGGCAATTGTTTTGTGGTTTTGTTATGGGATTCTGTGCCAATAACTCTGTTGTGTACTATATTACATTGTAAAAGGGGACTTTGGCCCTATCCTTCATAGTATCCTGCCCCTAAACAAGACTTGTGACCCGCCTGCTTGGCCACCTTTTTACTTTCTTCACCCTAGCAAAGACCAAGCATCAGAAGGAAACAATCTTGAAATGCTTGGCACTTGCAGTTGCTCAAGGTGGCTTTATTTTCCTTCGTTGTTTGATTAGTAATTGGCCCATGAGCATCAATTTTTTTATTTATCAGCAGTGAGGTCCATGAGGATTGGTACAAATGTTCAAAATGCTCTAACACAGAAGCTGTGAACTTAACACAGGTGATAGACCTCAGATTTATGGGGACTGCAGCTTGTAGACCCCTGTAGCAATAGGCCTATAAAAGTTAATCAAACACAAGTGCTTGTTTTGTAAAGCTTGGGTTTTAGTTTGTACGCTGTACCAAGAGAGTTCCCCACACCAGATAGAATTTACAAATCTGTGGCAAAGTTAACATGTTTGAAATGTAGAGTGATGATTTACATTCTGGTTACATTGCCTATGGGCAGCTTACATACAGTATGTTTCCTTGGATGTGGCAAGCCCATCTGAAGTATTTTAGAAATTCAGTATTCACCCACCACTAGACATGCTTGCCTGTACATTTCCTCTCATATCACTGAGCTTTACTGCTTGCCTTCCACAGGACATGATCTTTTTAGGTCCTGTTAAGCCCTATCCATTAAATCCACAGGACAAGATCTTGCTGGAATTCAAGCTTTAAGATGGTGCAAGCAAATGGTTTCATTAAGATTTTATTAAACAGGAAGACCTCTTTGCTCAGCAAGGAGTTGTAATGATCTGAATGCTCCTTTTATTCACTGTACTTTCTCCCAATCTTGTTGAGTGTTTTTAATTGTATTTCACAGGATTCTGCTGTTTCTCCTTACACTCTTTGTCATAGCGTATACTGTAGTTTTGCTTTGCCTTATTCCTTATCTGAACAGATAACTCTTCTTCACTAAGGTAAGCCAAACAAACAATATTCTAAATGACGTCTTACTAGCGCTTTATACAATTTTAACATAACTTTTCTTAATTTGAAGTTTTATGTTGTTTACTGTACAGCCTAACATATTGCTTACTTTTCTACTGCTTCCCCACATGCATTTACAATTTCTGTTTGCATTGCTTGCTTTGCAAACCCTACATTAAATGTAGACAAGTTAAATTGTCGTTAAACCGCCAGGTGTTTGCCCAGTCTTAGATTCTGTCTGAATCCTCTGTGCAGAGTGTTCCCAGGAAGTGATTTGGAACCACAGTAAAGAGCATCAGTTTCCACTGCATGTTGAAGACAACAGGACCGCTGTTAGCTCAGTTACTGTCCCTGCTAGCAATATATGAATAATAAATTAATTCCGTTTCCAGGAGCATTGAGAGATGTCAAAACAGATGACATGCCCTGATCACATGATCACATAATGTTTACATGATGATTATGATGACATAATTGATTACATACAGTATGAGTAGCTTTCACAATGTTTTTGCAAAAAAAGTCACAGATTTCGGAATGGCATAATAGTTTTTTTGTTTTTTGTGTTTGTAATAGTGATACCCTTTTAGGGTTTGATGTCAGATATAAGATGTCCGATATAAACTGTCCTGCATCATGATGTGTTGGTGGTGGTATTTTTAATTTCTTCTGTTTCTCAACTTTGTATGACAGCTAAAATTATTGTGTTGAAAACAGCCATCCCGACCAAAGCACATTGGGCATTAGACTTTTAAGTTCCTTTGCATTTACAAAGAAGATGTCTGACTTTTGCTGATAAGAAAACCATCTTCTGTCTCTTGCCCTCACTTTTAAGATATTAAAACTATTGAAGCTGTTGCTGTGTGCTGTGTGCCTGCCCTTATCATAGGAAACACAAGCTGGAATTAAAATCACTGTTTGCACTGAATAATTGGATCAAAGTTTCTCAAACTTTTCAAAGAACAAACTTGTGGCAGGAAGGAAAATGGACACAGCCAAAGGCAATAAAGACAGTGCTTTTGCACTGTTAGCAAAAAGATGGAGACTAAACATGAACAGAATGGGGGAACAGACAGCGAATCAAGCAATCATAAATTCTACTAATGAACAGCCATCAACATCAGGTTTGTTCGGTGTTTATTGCTTTCATCCTGCCCTCTGCAGGTGTGGTTACATTGTATGCAGCAGTGGCAAAGTCTGGGTGTAGGTGATTATTTAATTTTTGACACAATAACTGGATATAACTGGATACATCAGACACCACTGGCTACATCTAGCAGCTCTCTTTACCCCAGCCTGCATCAGCTTTGGGTTGTGCGTTGAGGCTAATCGACAGCACTGGCTTTAACCGAACGAGTGTACGGTTTGAATATATTAAACAGCAGAGGCATTCCAAAAAGACTGACCAGGCATTGGTTCAAACACTAAAATGAACTGCAGGCACAGGCAATGAAAAGGGCAACATCAGACAGCAGGAGCAATGAGCAGAGAAGGCGGGTGGAAACATCGTGGGGCAGAGAAACGTTTGGGGAGACAATAGAAGGATTTAGTTTTGGTTTTAATAATGGCGCACAATGTTAGGGCTCACATTCCAGTGCAATCAAAGATTGTGGGTTTACCCACGCTGCATCAAATAAGTGCAGTAACATGCACTTATGCATTTTGCATTATGCATTTTATATTACTTAGACTACTTCATATTTAATCTAACTGGAAAAATTGCCCATAGTAAAGTGATGAAAAACATTTTCTTTGCAACATTCTCAAGAGTGGGACAAATGTATTGATGTGTTGTACACTGTTGACACATAAATTTGTATTGATTCAAGTTGGAAAGTAAGCAAAAGTATACATACAGTATTATGAGAAGTATTCCAAAAGGTATTGGCTTTAAATCAGGCTTCTAAAGCAAAAGAAAAGCTCACATACAGTAAAATTTAACAACAGTTCAGGTTTTGTAAATAAGACATGGAGTATCTAGGTTTTGACCACAGTCCCACTCACATTTTCTCCACAAACTGAAATTGTTGAATGAACAAAGGAGTGTTTAATGGTTTGCAGTTGTAATGGAGACATAGTTATGATTAGGGCATGTTTTAAACGGGTTGTCTTGTTTGCTGCCAATTCAAGTAGACTTTTGCCAGGTATTAGGTAGGTTTATATTGTTTTTGAGATGGACACATTTTTGAAAACTTTAAAATGACTCACTGGAAGGCCAAAATACATTTTTACTGAAGCCTTTAAAGATCAGCTAAGTGGGATTTGTAATTCTGCAGGTTTGCATTCCAACTAATTTCTTATGGTTCCACATCTGTTGGGCAGATCCAAATCAGTTGCAGAGTATTGGCTTAATTGGAGCAACTGAACATCCTGTCCTTTTGCAAGAAGAGTCAAGATACCAGTAGACCAGCACAACATGGGAGACGTGATTAGCAGAGAGCATTGTAATGTCTGTGTGGTAGGGGAATCTCCCAAGGCAAACTGACTGATCTCTGCAGGTCTTTCCCCTTTCTTACAGGAGTGTGCACTGTGTGAAGGTCCTACTGTCATAACAAGCTCTGTTGTATTTCTAAATACAACATGTTTAAAAAAAGGCAGCATGTTGTATAGTAAATACTTAAACAAACAAGCATTTGAAAACATAGGAAAGGTTACAAATGATAGAGGAGGCTGTTTGGTCCAACTAGCCTGCATGGTTGCTTTACTAGCTAATTTGAACAGCTACTTGCTAATTTAAAAATAATTCTTGGATCTCGCTCTTGTAAACACAGCCTCCTTTCTCTGGTTGCAACAAATCTTTCCGCTGGGATCGCCGTTTGAGTGTGCTGCCAGCCTCAGACCGCTCTGGCGAAGCCTATCCGGTTGTTTCGGCGGTCGAACTCCATGTAGTAGCGGGCGATGAAGTTGGCCCCCAGGATCCAAGCGGGGCCGGTGGGTGGGGGCAGGTCCAGGCCGGTGATGGTCACCACGCACACGTCCTCCCCGAGCTGCGACTGCTGTGGATGGAGACAGGCGGTGGGTCACGAGGTAGTCCCCAGGTTCCCTTGTGCTCTTACCTCGCACTCTGCTCCTTGATTTGTGCGAAACAACAGGCTCCTGGCAGACATGCCTGCAGCGCTGGGAGCAGAAGATCTGCCACAGTTACAAGCTGTGGGGCCCTTAGGGACAGTTAGTGTAGATGGGGTGCTGAGAAAGCAGCATCCCCCTTTTTTCCTGTTCAAAATACATTCAGGAAAGCTAAACCCCTCTCAAAGTGTTTGCACATTTACAGGTTGGATGCACATTGCTTTTCTAAGTTAAACCTTACAGCACCAAAAGTTAGATCGTTTTTCTTTTTGCATTGTATTACTTTGCTGGTGGCTCTCTTATTTTAGTAGGCACCTTGCTAGGAGTTTTAAATTGAGTGTTTTAATGTATTGAGAATCACGGTCATCCATGTCCCCTCCATCCTCTCAAAGTCTGGAGGGTTTTACACACCTGTGCTACCATTTGATATTTAGGTTTTTCCTTGTCTTTCAAATCAAGACACTTTCAAATCGAGCCATCTTAATGTCAGGAAGGCTTCACTTAAAGGGGAAAAGAGAAGTGAGTTGTTACCAAAATGTATGCCTTATTAAATTGGGTAAAACTAAATAAAACAAAACCCACTGGAAACATGGTTGTTGATTTGGCATGTGATACAAATGCTCACATGAAGCAAATAACATTGAACTTAGGGCTCTGGCGTCTTGTACAGGTAAATCCCATATATATGAAATGTCTGGAAACACAAACCATGAGATTGAGAGGCAACATCAGTTCAGCTTTTTTCAGCTGAGCTGCTCCCTTTTGCCTTATTCAGCCGTCTCTCAGCATGCGATTTCAACAGTTTATTCAGCAGTTCTTTGTGCTTTGACTGGCACACACTTGTCACAACGTACAGCATATCAGCTTCTAGACTTCACAGGATATTCTGTGTCGTAATATTATACCTTATTATTCAAGACAAAATTATATTTCTACCTCCTGCATGGAAACTTTTCAAACATTCCAGAAGCTGAACAGACATCACAGTCATGTTAGGATGGCGGCATTCTCAAACATGTTTTAAATGGCTGTTTCAATGTGATTATTTCATTAAATAGATTGGAGTGAGAAATAAACATTACTGGGAAAAGTTTTAAGTTGACTATGGATTGAATTAGTATTGTTCAAGATTCCATGACTACATGCTGTGTGTGGTGAATTTATAGTGTGTGACTGTGACCTACCAATTGAATGTAATCTTCCCCAGTTAATGAATACTCATGACCTCCGAAGTTGAATGAAATGCTGGGCAAGGCTTTCACCTGGTCACAGTTGACTGTGTACTGTTGGGTAGAAAGAGAAAATAAAAATCACAAAACAAACAAAAGCTTTTTTAAAAAAAAATCAGTGATCCTTACTACTGATCCTGCACATCTACAGTACAGTATATGGTCTACTTTTCATTGTATCTTTTACTGGCTTGGAATCCTATCTGTCTGTTTCTAGTTTCCATGGAGTTCCAGTTAACCTTAGATTGGAATATTACTCAACTGTCTGTTTCTAGTTTCCATGGAGTTCCAGTTAACCTTAGATTGGAATATAACTCAGTTGTCAGACGTGCTACTGCTTGAGGAAGGTGGCAGTGTTCTTTGGATGTAGAGAAAGGCTAGGGTCAAGATATTTGATGGATTCTACCTGTTCTGTTGGTGCAGTCAATTTGTCTGGTGCATGACGTTTTGTCACTTCTCATTAATGATATTGATGATGGCCAATTCAGTGGTTCAGCCGGGCTGTGAATGGACCTGTTTAATCTTGAACAGAGATTACAGTGGATCTTCGTAACTGCTTGAGTGTGTGGAATTTATTTAGCATCGGTCCAATCTCAACAGCCTGAGAGCACAAAGTGAGTGACTAAACAGCAGCATTCTCAGTGTAACTGCTAAATGCTAAAGGTCATTTCAAGGCTCCTTGGATGAGTGAGCCAGTAACTGACAAGATGAACTGAAATGCATTTTTTGGGGGTTTGTAACTTTTCTTATTTTCTTTTCGCAACCTCCAATCAGCCTAGCAGTTCCCACGAGACACACACTGAACCTTTAACGGTTGCACCATAGTCCTCTAAAGCAATTTAAAGATTTATGTATCTGGGACCAGAGCCAATGCCACCATAGCCATAAGTAGTTAAAGATACAGTACACTCACATTCCCGAGCAGAGCTCAGAGTGAGGCCTTCTGCACTGATACATGGTGCTTGACCACAGTAATGGAACATTTGGGATCCTGTGAGTGCAACTTCCGATTCTGCCTTTCATTGTTTTCTGTAAAATATAATATGTGATTGTTCTGTTTAGGGGTTTGGTTTCGCTGCTTGGTTCTCCTTATTAACTGTCTCTGCTTGAATTACTTACTGTACACAGTGTACACACTAGGAACTCCCTCTTGGCTAAAGTGTTATACGAGTGAATTATGTTTCACCGCAAAAAAATTGTAGTTATAAAACCATATTTGGCACCGATCCCTGAATAGTTTCCTTTTTTATTTTTTATACCACAGCTGACAGAGAGAGAGAGAAAGAGAGAGAGAGCTAAAGTGTTCTCTTTTTTTCATTCACGCAACATTGAGAATATTGCTGTCTGTTTCAGTTCCAGGTAACCATGGCCCTTTAGGTAGGGAATCGTCATCTCTTTTCTTTGGTGCATCTGGTGCATCTATTTGAACTCAAAGCCCTGTCCTCCTAGCGATTGCTATCAAACTCTTGCAGATGTTATCGGTTTAATTTGCAAATTATGTTATAGCTCAGGCTGGCAATCGCAGATCTTTTTTCTGTGTTTGTGAAGAATGTTTGATTGGGTGCAAGATATTAAAGGTATCTTGGAAGTGTAACATGATGAACATGCAGTCAAAAGTATTTATTTGAAAAGATTTCCCCCAGCAATAATTACCCAGATCTCTTACTGCTTGAATGAAGTATGATTGCCTCAAACGATCAGCATCACAGACTCTTTTATCTCACTTAAATATCTATTTTTTTCAAGCCATCACATGTTTTATACGTGATCAACCTCAGCTGGGTCTGATATTGAAAAACCTGAAATACCCAGTGACCCCAGATAACATCACTGATGATGTCTCCAGGTGCATCAGACTACAAACTACTGATACTGTACATGTCTGCATGCATGCAAGTCTAGATTTCCATACCATTCTACCACATTTTTTATCACTTAAGATAATAAGATAAATTAGTGACACTATTAATTTGAAATACTGTACATGCAGAGGGCTGATTTTTTATTTCTAAGGCATTGTGTTTTCAAGAGAAGTTGACTGTGATATTTTGAGTTTCTCTTTGCTGCAAAATATTCTTACACACAGATGTACCTGAATAATGTGAAGATTTTTTTTTGGCCGTAGGTTTAATCAGTAGACTTGAAAAGCATTGTTAAAAGTACAGTAAATGGGCCTGTAGAATCAATGCCCAGTCACTTCCATACCTCTCCCTCTGCCAGTTGGGTGGCTCTGATGGCCTTCATTAAGATCGACACAGAGGAGGCGGGGCCTGTGATGTAGGAGGAGCCAGTGTCAATCATAGCTGCACAGCCTTCTTTACAGAAGAGCTCCTCCGCTCCCACAGATACCCTGAACAAGAGAGAGGGAGTTGTACAGAAGGGGAGAGGAATTTCAGAGAATACGATATATGATGAGGATGAATATAAGTTTCCTTTTGCATGAGAAAGAAAAATATATGGGCGGTGAGAACCTGCTGTGGAAGGCATGCTGTAATTCTGGTTAAAGCACTTTGAACCATAGATGTATGAGAAAAGATCGTCAAAGCTAAGTAAATTGTTCACTTTTATGATAAATATAATAAGCTTTTATAGAAGTTAACTTTTATGATAAATATAATAAGCTTTTATAGAAGAGCTAAAGCAGCTCATCTCCAGTCCTCAGAAGCCAAAAGGTTTCTGGTTCTCTTTCCACCTGAGCCCATAATTACTTAATTGAACTCATTAATTGCTTAATTAGGCAAGCTGAAGCCTTGTGTTCTAGAGAAAGGGGGGGCTATCAGGGGAGCACACTGAGCCACAGATTTCAGATTTTAGATAGATTTCAGCCTCACCCTGTCAGCTTCACCTGCCATTTCCCCTCTTTGCTGGTTCGCAAGTAGTTGAAATGTCCAGTGTAGTACTGTGGGTCTGTCCCTCCTAAAACTATTTCCCCTCCAGGCTTGTGGTGAGGGTCCCTGGCAGACATACAGTAAGATAAAAGATAAGAAGCTCTGAATCACACACACATACATTCTCAGGCAATATACAGAATTGTGGAGGCAGAACCATGAGCATCAATTTTGGGAAGTGAGTATCATAATTAAATTAAATTAAATTAAAGTATTTCGCTTTAGAATGACTGGAAGCTGTGCAAACTCTTGTCCAGAAATGCAAACATTCAGCTCTGTACGCACAGGCGATAGTTAGCTGCCTGGTTTTAGCAGCAATGCAATCTGTTTAAAAACAATAATAAAGAGATGTCCTTGTCTTTTTTTACAGTGTATTTCAAAGATCCCTAAACACTTCACACTTCATTTCATTCATCCCTGCAGTGCAGTACTGGCCTCGCCAATAAACAGCTCATGATCTGGAAAAGTGAGACGTTTACTTCACCAATGAAATAGAAAGAGGGAAGTTTTAATTAAGGGAGCCTGTACTGGAATTAGGCAGGACACCAGACACTTTCTTCTCAGCTAGCGCCATGGGATCTTAAAAGACTATTGGTAGTCTGGACTTAAGTTTAACATCTCATCTAGAGGCCTAAGCAGAGCGGGCTTCCATGTGAGAAAGACAACTGTGACCAAACCCTTCTTTTTATTAAAACCCAGGGGTAAATAGTATTTGAAACTTGCTGCCTTTTTAAAATAAAACCGTCTGCCTACCTGCTGTAATAAACAGAAAAGACCTCCTCCTTTAATACGTGTTGTGACATGATGCGGTCGAAAACAGGGGTGATTCCATCAATAGCTGCATTGGGGTACCCCATCCCCAGCACCCCATCAAACTTGGCAAAGATGAAAGGCAGAGCAGGTAGCGCAGTTGCCTCAGCAAACATCTGAACCACTGGTATACCTCCCACCTGTAGGAGAGAAAATGGAGATCAGCATGGCTACCCCTTGTCTAGGCCCCCCATACAGGGCAGGGTGTGTCTAAATGAGTTTGCGTGTATTGAAGTAAAGCCAAGAGACCGAAAACCTATTTCCCCTCTGGACAATCTGTTTATGTCTTCTCTTCTGTCTCTCAGTTTTGAAGTTTTAGTTGTATCAAAATAAATGAATGGAATTTTTTTCAGTAAATATGAAACTTCAGAAAAGCCAATACTCAGAATACTCACTGGTCTTAGCAAAGACCTGGGGCAGGACATTTCTAACTCATTGCCTCATTTTGAGAATATTTGAGCAGACAGGTCCAGTTGAAGTAATTTTTACTTCATTTTATTGTTCTATGAGCACACTCAGTACAAAAGCCTGTGGCTTGAACCTACAATTCTTAATGTTTCAAAGATCAAAAAGCTGTGCAGCTGAAATCTCCTTAATGCTCTTCCTGTAGGCATACCACTTGCTATAAGGCGGACAATACCCCTATTTTCCTACTTGGAGTGAAAATCATTTTGTTCCACACCTTTTCTGTTTAGATCTCCATTTCACACTTACTTGATTGTCAGAACATACAGTATACAGTATTACTATGTTCCACTTATGAGACGTTACAGTGTGATGTGTGCGTGTCTTGTCAAAGCTGGATTAGTCATGTTCTGATTCCTTTGATTGTGTTAGCTGGAGTCAGTTTCTGATTACACTGCAGGCAAAATGCCAAAGCAGGTCTTGATCAGTGTTTGAACACATGATTGTCATCTTCATTAAGCCTGCTGTGTAGTTACAGAGGGGCAAGAAGGCAACATTTTGAACTGTGTGATCCGGATGTAACAAAATGATTATAGTCAAAGACAAACTGTAACTGTAAACAATAAAATCAGTGAACTGGTGATAAAAAATAATTAAACAGCCCCCCGATGTGTCCCAGATGTCCCACAGACAGTTAAGTTCCACAAGGACCCAGACTATTGGTGGGAGAAGAAATGCAAAGCCCCGGAGGTTTCCAGATTGATCATTCATGTTTAATATACTGTAAAAAAGGACACTGGACATAACATTTTGACCTTGGCTCCGTGTTTCAGAATAATGAGGAAAGACAGTTTGTCAGTGGATTGGGGGCACTTAAGACATTGATAGCTGAAGTGCTTTCACTTGAAGCTGCGGGCTTTCTCAGTGGAATGAGCAGGCAGCGTGCGAATTTCTTGGGTGGTTTGAAATTGGTTAATTCCTCAAAACAATTGGCAAAACTAAAAGTGCAAGAATATCTACTGTTAACGTTGCAGCTGCATCAAGTTGAGAATCTCATGTCCAATTGGATAAAAACACTTTACCTTTGCGGAGAAGTAAAACAAGAAAATCTGGCCTCAGTTGCTTAAATTTCTGTAGAACATATACTCTCAAGCACTTGAAATACAGCACACTCCCCATACACATGCACACATGTTCCTGAGTTTTAAGCACTAAATTAAAACCAAGTTCCTATGATGGTATGAGAACTGAACTCACCACAACCACATCCTCACTGAGAAATCCTCGGACATTTCCAGACCCGTACTGGATAGAGAAGCCTGTTCCATTCTCAATGTGAGTCCGGGATTTAGAGGAATCATACCTGTTGTGGGAAACTGGAAAGTGATGCAGTGATGCAGCAAAAAAAAAATGCCATTACTGTATAGCAAAGCATTGCATTTAGGCAGACTTCTGTTGCTCCATCCAGAATTTATCCGTAACATTTGTTTTCGGAGCGTTCTATTTAATATCTGAGTTTTGCATATAAGCTTTTCCTAAAAAAGGTGACTATGAACATGTCTGATTCCTGAAACATCTGGATAGTTGCATTTCTGATCTAGATTTAGATAAGGACATTGCAGCTGTGCAGTACTGCCCCCTGCTGGCAACAAGGAGTCAGTGCAATAACTGCTGTGCTGCATTTCCACCTGATAGCACAGATCTACTGTACTGTATACTGATGGTCTGTCTTTTAAGTTAATTAAAAGTTTGTTGTACTGGATATGGGATGGATAATTCCATCGGTTGAGGTATCTCCTTTGCAGGCAGAAGCATACTGCCACGAGAGCCCAGTTAGTTTCTTTATGTAACTGAGATGGTGTAATTCCCTAGTATGTCCATCTCTCGGTACTTACAGCAGGCAGTGTAGAGAGGGGAGCAGCTGTAGGATGGGACCCAGAGGTTTGCCGAGCCGGTGTCAAATACCACATTGAACATCTGTGGAGGCGAACCAATGCTGATCTCCCCAAAATACTGCGTCTGAGACAGAGAGGGGACCGGGAAGAAAAATCACAAAAACAGCTGTCAGAGCATTTGACGATCACTCTAATATTGCCATAATTGCCTGTGGTGGAGATAAAAAAGAACCACAACTCATTGTTGCTTTAATTTAATGTATTTTCCCTACTTTGTAAACTGTGGTGTCAGGATATGAGAGGCTATATTGCAATCTTGGACAGGAAATTATGGGAAATGTCTTACTTTTATAATTAACTTCATAATTGATAATAAGCACTACAAACGCTATGGTATTTTTCTTCTTTCCTGCATCTCTTTTAAAAAAGCCTGTGCCAATCCTCAAACACTGGAGCTGTGCACAGAAGAGCGCAAGCTGGTGTCTCATTTAACTTGAGCTGCACCCTTTATAACATCTCTGTAAGGGATGGCCAGCTCCGGTCCAGGGGATTCACATATTTAATAGCTTACCCATAAATCCATAACCCCGCACGGACTTGGAACACATGAGCTGTGGCTGTGATTTGATTTAGTTAAGTTAGGAATGGCTGGCTGTGGTCTTTGAGAGATGTGATTTTAATTTCAAATCTAATCAACGCCATTGAGTAAATCAACATTTCAAGAGGTGAAAGCCAGTGGTTTTGGAAATTGATGATTTACAGGTGACACACAAAACATGATGGCTTGTGTTACTCTGCAGCTACAGCTAGACATCGCTGACCTGTGTTGTTAATTACTACGGCGATACACACTCCGGCAGGGTTTTCTAGCTCACTTTAACTCCTCAGCTTTGAAAGTCCCGAGGAGAAAATCAGCCAGTTGATCCAATATCTCTTGAGGGTCGGAGGTGACGTTCACTGGCCTGAAAGATCAGCACCATAGTGTTGGGAGGGACACCTGATTGGTAGTCCTCAGGAGCTGCAGAGTGTTAATGGTTTTGAAAACATTTTGGTGCACAATTTATTAATTAAGCTATGATCTTCATGAACTGGCTGCGATTTCTCCAAGTCTTGAGGAGTTACAACTTGCACATTGTGGAGTTCCAGAACTGGCCAACACTGACTTAAAAATGTGTCATTTTCTTCACATTTTAACTTTTTACTCGGTACACATTAAAAAGGTTTTGCTGGTCTCACATCAAGGTAGTTGGTGAGGGGGGTGGGCGCGGTCCCGTTGCTGGGAGGTGAGTCAAATCCCATCTTCTGGGCCATTTCGGCAAAGACTTGGGCTGGGGAGACGCCCATCTCTCGCAGGGTCTCCCGGATCGAGGGCATCTTTTTCAGAGAGATCCTGACGGGAGAGGAGATGAATCAGGCCGAACAGAAATCAACACACTGGAACAAAACTGTGAGTGGCCTTACCCCAGCTGAGTTCTGCTTGTTGTGTTCTGCATATTATGTACTTAAACTGGTTGAAATCAACACCTCCAGCACTAATTGTCAGCAGGAATAAATTTGTTGAGCTGCAGGACTCCACAGCTATGGTAAACCTGTATTGAAATTTAGCCATTTTGTTTTAAAATGTTTAGATAATGCTCACAGTTAATCCTTACAAGTCAGTCTTTTGTAGTACAAAAAGTAACCTTGTATCCTTATTAATATGTAGAGAAGAACAGACTATGTTAATGATGCGGACAGTGGGTTAATTAGATCTGATTGGTAAAAGTGATGGTTTAGCTGCTACAGAATTCCCTATGGGCTGTTCATATGTTCACCTTAAATTACTGTGATCACGTGTGATCACTGAACCTTGATCAGTGCGAATTAAAAATTCACTAAATCATTTGGTTTTTTTTCTCACCCACAGCAAAGCTGTATTAATAACAATTGTTAGAGCAATAGAAAATGTTGTGTTGAGAAAACTTTTGTGTCTAAGATGTATAAAATATATGCAACAATGTATACATTATTATTATATTTGAAAATCATATACTATTGGAAATCAAACGTTTTAAATAATTTCCTTGGTCATCTGCATCATGTATAGAGTAAACCTGTCTGAGTGAGCCTAATCTCCTTCATGTGACACTTCAATGTCCTTTGCATTTTGTACAGTATCAAGAAGGTGTGACTTCATCAAGTCATACTAGACACCTGTTTAAAACATGAAAATGAAGCATAAAAGTCCTCTTCCCTTTTCCCATCAAATCCTGTTTTTCTGCTCCTGATAAGCGCCAAAGCTTATCCATGTTCTAAATGCTTTATCAAATACAGGCTCCCAGGGGAACCAGAGCCTATCCCAGCAGGCATCGGGCTCAAGTCTATCGCAGGGCACACACACACACAAACAAACACGGACCTGCACACACTCACACCAGGGCCAGTTTTTGAAGAAACAGAATAGCCTACCAGTATGTCTTCGGACTGTGGGAGGAAACCCACAGAAACATGAGGAGAGCATACAAACTCCACACAGACAGCACCCCAGGATCTGAACCCAGGACCCAGAGCCTCAGCATTACAAGGCAGCACCGCTCACCCCTGTGCCACCATGCCACCCTATTATTATAGTAATCATTGTTTTATTATTATTGTCATCGCAATCCGTGCTTTGCATCGCAGAGGAGAGAAAAGGGCATTTGGGGTGTTCTTACTACAGTAGGTCGGGAATGTGCTAGTAAAAGTGTAGCACTGTAGCATGACAAAAGCCCCATAGATCGAATTTCAGTTACTCAAAGCAAACTTGTAAGCCTACATTAAATCAACACAAAAGCTGTGGGAAACAGCAGTAAAACAGATTCATACTAGTAAAACTACATCATGTCTGTGGAAAGAAATTGCCTGGTAAGTTTTCTTAAGAATTCTTAAGAATTTACTGATGTAGGGAGCCACAGGGTTCATTTTTCTTAAGCATCATTGCAAGCATTCTTTTTTATAATTTTTGTGTCTCTGGCATGCATAAATGAGCTGACAAGTACTCTGAAAAAAGTTACCTTATCAAAGCCTGGCTTGAGGTGATCATCAGCACCAGCAGGAGAGCAGCCCAGCAGCGCATTGTGATGGGAGGGGGTTGTGTGACAGCTTTCAAACAAAGTCTGTTTCCTCAGGCGATCTCTGTCTGGCAGACTGTACTGTACCTCCTCCTTTTTATACCATCTCTTCTTTGCCCAGCAGTGCCCTGCAAGCCTCTTTTTGCTAACAGCACCAAACAACCCTGTCCCCTCACCCAGCCCCTCCCCTGGTGAAGTGGTCCCAGAGCTGTGCGACCTCTGACCTCAGAGAAGGGGTTGAGACGGAGAGCAGCGACACAGAGCGTTCCCAAGATAGCGTTCTCTCAGAGGGAGGCACTCCTTCACCCTGGAGTTAGCTGTGAAGTAGAGGCTTTTAATAATGGGGCAACAACATGTTAATGGAGCACAATCATTTGTTTGAAACAGGAAATAAAATACAAATAAAGGAAGGTGAAGAAAGAAAAAGTGCTCACAGTGACCTGTGTTACCGGAAGTCCCAGGTCTTTTGGATCCTCTAAGATGAGCATTAATGACCTGTTTATGTTAGAACTGTTTTATATTGTGGTGTTCCAGGTGTGCCAACAAGGTGGTCTATGAAGGTATGACTCCAGAAGCAACAAATATGTCTTAGGACAGGCCAGGGGAAACATGGGGTACTCCTGAAAATTACACACACATGCTCATGTTCTGGTCCTCCCACAGTGGGAAGAAAATGCTTTTTGTTAAATGAATTTCTTTACATTTACTGCATACTTTCAGACACTCTCTGGGCCTCATCTGCAAGAGCACCCTTCTTGCACTATTCCGTATCAGTGTTAATGACTGATTGGCTTTGTAATCATGAGAGCTTGGCTTTCAGGTATTATTGGGTGAAAAATTACCACAGCCTTCATAACCTTGGTTGACCTTCTTTGCTCTGAAGTGTGAACTGTTTTGCGGTCTCCTTTTTTTACAGCTACAGTCTTAGGCTATATATTGTTTGTCTTTGCTGTCACAGTTTAATTTTTATCTGTATGTCTTTTTTTACTTTTCGTATCTCCACAATATTGCTTGAAGAAATGATGCATGGGACTCAAAACACCATATAAATCCCTTCATATATTTTGCATCCAAAACAAATGCAGTACAGAAAGATGCATTGACATTTACTGAAGCATCACTTTATACAGCTGTGAAGAAAACAAAACAGATTAAAATTAACTTCATATCTAGCATTGAACAAAAAAATTTCTGCTCTCCCCCATTCCTGTGCTGATTCAAGTGTCGCTCTCTTGAAAACTGTCCTTAAAGAGCTGTCGATTAACCTTGCTCTTGCCATGATAATGCCCTGGAAAATATTTAAAAATGAAACGTGTACAGTAAATACAACGTCTAACAAATCTGGAAAATTGTAAAACAGCACACTCTCGGGGAGATTCACAGGTGGTGATATTCTTATTTTCACAGATGTGGTATTTGAGCTCTTCTTTTTGCAGCTGTGGAGGTGTTGTGTTTGATGGGTTAATGCAGACCGGTCTTGTACCCCTCTGAGCTACAGAAATCCCCAGCTCACCTTCGCTCCGAGTCTGAGCTGGAGTCCTAGGAAGAGCCACAGCAGGCTGGCCCTCTGCAGACAGATTGGTCTCTGGGGTGTGCACCCGTGTCCCGCTCCATTAATTATAGGCCATCGCAGGGGCCAGCAGACCGGTTCTCACAACCTGAGGGGACTGCACGTGGGTCAGTTCACAGCGCCACGAAGACTCAGTTACCACAGCCTGCTCCACCGGGGCTCCTGGGACACTGGTGGAGGTTAGTCACCCGGGATGCCTGTCTGCTGTTGCAAAGAGTCCAGGAAACTCATCCAAACTGTTTTAGGAAAGACACAAACATGGCATCCGCATGGCTCAGGTCCTGCGCTAAGTGCCCAATCCAGCTACTGTCTATAACAGCATTGTACTTTGCAAATACTGAAATACTTGCAATAATTGTATGACATTAACTGTCAGTCAGCTGAATTAAGTTTTCGGTTCCCGCAAACACTTACTGGAGGCCTAAACAAACTCATATAAAAAGCATAATGCAGAATTCCTCTCTTTTATTAGCATTTTTTATTACTTCCATAATTGGATTGGATTAAGTAGTGCCACATGGAATATGTTGTTTCTCCTTGTAAGGTTGAAATTATTTTTTTACTGCAGTATGAGAAGACATGCACCTCACATGAGGCTTCATGGGTAAACATTATGAAAGAAGTTTGCATAGGCTGTGTGTTTTAACAATAAAATATCTGCATCTCTGGGGCTGCAGTAAGGATTTATTTAGGGCAGGGATATTTGGAAAAAGACATTTGGGATGGGTTCCCTCCTCCCCACACCCCCTTATCCACAATGACAAAATCTGCCTTCAGATGGGTGACGTTTACAAACGAAATACAAGCACAAGCAAAACAGTAGCATATATCACCAAGATTGATAAATGTCTGGTCAATAGAAGAATAAAAATAATCATTCTAGATCTGGGTTCAAGCCTGGGCCAGCTGTGCTGGGCTGGTTGCATCCCCCCTCTCCCTACACAGATAGCACCCCTGTGTATCTGTATCAACTGAGAATATCTTTCTCTCCAAATACTTTCCTGCTGCTCTGAGTGGGAAACTCCTACTGTAACCTCTGTATTGCCACAGGCTTCAGTACAGAATGCACTTGCTCACCCACTCACACACACACCCATGTCTCTCCTGTGAGTCAAATTCGGTTCCCACAGCTTGCTCTGAGGTCAGGCTGGAGGTCCTGTTTGTGTACTCAACCCCGCATCGGACGAAAAGATGTTAACGTTCACGTCAGGAAGGAGGCAGGAAAAAAAAGTCTGGGGATGAATTTCAAACAGTTCCCACTCCCTGGCACTACCAAGAAATCATTTGGCAGTCATTGTGATAAGGTTTTACAGTAAATGACTTGCTTATTAAGACAAGAATCTTCTAGCGTAAAGTGATTGCCGTGTTAAGACCCGGCAGTGACGGACTTGGGTTTAATGTAGCCTTGTTGTTTCTGAGCCTGCTGGCTGTTTGGTGCCACCTGACCTCGGTTTGTGAGTTTCATTATCATTTTTGTGGAGGTGGAAATGTCTACCGAAATACCTCCTCATTAGGAAAACGGGCGGCTGGGCATAGTTTGTTTTTCTTGCCAAGGCAGTTTGGAGCAACTTGGTTGAGTATAAATTAAGATAAGGAGTGCAGCTGTCGACTCTTCTGATTCTCTGGCTGTGAAGTGTGCTGTTTCCTGCACTGCTACCCACATTTTGAGCCCTTTGTGAAATAGCAATGACAGGTTTCAACACAGTCGGGTTTCTTCATCAGCCCACACAAACTCCTTCCCACTCTCTGCGCTTTGTGTGTTTGTTCCAGGCCTTCCAGGAGCTGGGAATCCAGATGGACGGTTTAAAGAGGGCTTTTTTGGCAAGCAGGGAGCACAAGTGGCACTGGCAGAGGCACTCTTGTGACCTCCAGTCCAAGCTGATGCCCCAAGAAGCTGGTTTCCCACAGAGCTGTGCTCCAGAAGCCTCAACAGGGACCCCATGGTGACACCCTGGGCAAGACCCCTGCGTCACTCAGTTGCGCCAACACACGCCCTCCAAACACACAGCTCTTGCTTAGGCATGGGAAAAGAGGTCCCTCCTGCACTGTTGCCAGGAATTTAGGACACAAGGTAATGTCGAGCTCCAGGAACCCTGATGCTAGACGAGGAATCTCTCACATCGCTCCCCTTGTAGGATTCTGGCAAAACTCTCTCATGCTTGAAGCCGAGAGGCTGTTTCCTTGGTGTTGTGTCTGTGGCTAGACCACTTTATCACAGACTGCAGAGTGAACATCATCTAAACATATTCTACAGAATAAATGAAGAAAGAGACTCTACTGCATAAAAGCTGCTTATTTCACTCTTTTCCTTTGAATTTACCCTTGTAGCCCACGTGCTGATGTAGCTACTCCCTCCAACCTTACCAGAGAAGGTGCCTCCATCCATCAATGTCTGTTTATGCTAAGACACCCTCAGGCAGTCATAGGCAGCCTATACCCTTAGGAGCCCGAACTGTGCAGAATGAAGAGCTGTCTTACCCCTGAAAGCTGTTCAAGACCAAAAAGCACTGTTTTGTGCACTACATAGGCTACACAAAGCTCAGTAAAGCCACAGTGTTTGTGCTGCATATAAAGATTAGACAATGGAATGTGGGTTCTCTATTGTACTTTCTGCACAGCCACACTGAATACATGAAAAAGCGACACATGAGTTTGCATTGAGTTCTGATTATTCATGTACCTTATTCTTGTTTGACTAATTGCAAGCACCTATTTCTCAAATCAAATGAGAGGCCAGTTTCTTAGAAACGGATTAGAGTCCTGACTGCCGGCACACTGTCATGCTGAGCTGCTTTCAGAATGTTAAGATCTCAAGGTAAATGCCACTGTGTCTGATGGTCAGTCTAGATGCATGTCATGAGACGATTTTTATACTTATGTACTGTGTGATATTTCCACCTTCTCCTACTATTCCACGTGGAAATGACATTTCCACATTAAGCTCTGACCTTTCAATTGCCATTTAATATTTCAAATGGACAAGTTTTGCCTTAGTTTACGCTATGATTTAATTTATATTGCACCTCCATGAAATATTTTATATATATATATCGTTAGAGATACTTTGATAATGTTCGAATTTTTCACAGTACAGCATATTCTTCATGTAGGTTACGGCAGTACCCCTCAGTTGCTGGCTTTCAAAAATAGGAACTGGTAAAAAACAATAGTATATATCATGTTAAAACGTGAGCTTTTAACTTGAACTGTCATGAAAAAACATGAAACTGTCACATTAATAGTTTATTAATTGTTAATGCTATAGGCATCCTGTTTTGTTAAGTGTCTTGATAGGAAATCATTAATTATGGATTGAAATGGAAAAATCTGGCGAGTGGCTCTGATTCGTTGCAGGGGAATGTTTCTCATCCCCTCTCCGGTGAAGAGGGATCAGGCAAGGCTGGACTCTGGAACCGAGCTAACAGCTTTCATCCACGGGGAATGCTTGCTCTGGGACAGGAGGCTGTGAGGACATTGCAAAACCCATGACATAGGAAGGCCAATGTAATTAAATTAAAATTAGATTTTAGGTTTTTCTGTCTGTGGCTGTCAGTCAATAGTTCTTGACCAAAAAAGCACCATTGTGCTTTTCAATTCATTTTAAATTGTGTTCACTCAATACATCATATCGCGAAAGGTGCTGTGTTGTTGTAACTATTATTATTATTATTATTATTATTATCATTATTATTAATGATGTGCTTGTTCATCTTGAATTTTGTGGAAATTTATCTACATCTCATCTCTGTCCTTAGATGCTTGGCTGCAAGGTATGTCATCAGCATGAAGCAAGACAGCTCTTTAAATTTGATGCCCCCCAATAAATTTACAAATACTTGTTTATGTCAATTTTTCAGACATTTAAGAGCTCTCAAGCAGACCATTTTGGGGGGTGGGGTGGGGTGGGGGCGCTTGCCAGTTGTGCTTCTGGTCACTCTTGAAAACAAAGAGAAGGATATTGATCGGTAGGGCTGCGTTGCCCAGCTGTGAATGGGCCAAAGGTGTCTGACACACAAGTCTCAGGCAGCTGAGTAAATAACCTCCACTGCTCCAACAGCCTTACCCCACCCCCTCCAGTACTGGGCAGTTAGTCTGCTAGTGTCACTCAGGCTGAAAGTGAGCAACAGGGGGTTTGGGCAATTGCGTACATTCTCCAGAGATTTCCGGAACCGCAGGCAAGGTAGGGGAGACAGAAAGGGAGAGAGTCGCGACAAGGCAGAGGCGCAGAAAAAGGTACCCGCTTGTGTGTTTTTCCTCTGTTTCATCTTCATCAAAAGCCCACTGTATCTTCTCAGTTCTTGCCTGGAATCAAACGGCTTCCTATTCATTTTTTATCAAGGTTTGCCTCCTTCGCTGGTTACAAAGGGATTAAAGTATGTTAGGCCCGGCTGGATTAATTTGTTTTAGGCTGAACCTCCTGGGCCTGCTTTTCTTTCTGAGGAGAATCGAAAAATGATTGTATTTCTTTCAGAAATGTAATTAGCCACCTGGAAAGTTAATTTAGGAGTGCTGTGTGTGACTTTGGAAGTGTTCCTGTGGAGGCATTTTGTTCTTCAACTTGTTTGTTTTTTCAGTCCAAAATTTCTGTGTCTCTTCTATCTGTTTTCTCTGCTTTATAGTGTTTTATCAATGTATTTACTGTAACAATTTATTATCCTTACAGTAGTATTTATCTAGGTATGGTCATATAGATGGAAACTGGAAATGCTTTTGCAATTATACCACCAAATAAGAGAATTCTGAACTTTGTGGAGTCTTTTGGTTACAGGGGCCACTGCTTCATTTTACTGTATATACCATACGCCCAACATAACCTTACCTTTTCCAGAGTCTGTATAGTCTTGTTTATCCAGGCATGATTTGGACTGAAACCTGAGCATGCCAGGGCTGTCTGTGAGATGGGGACATGATGTCTGGTCTGGTGAAGGTTGTTTAAAGAGAAGAAAGCCCTTTGTCTTGCACCACTCGGCATTGCTAGGAGACTGAACTCATTTTCTGTCTGGATGGAGGCAGTGGGGCTGGAAAACATCAACTTAATATCAGAAATGCAAGGATGATTGTGCACGACTTTCTTTTATTTCTCTGCAATTTTGTCGTCCGGTGAGAATTGTATTTTTGATTGGGAAAACTCTGCTTGAGGACACAGGGAGCTTTTAGCTCTATTTCTCCATTTCTTGTTTCGAAGAAGAAAAAGAAGACTTGTGTCTGCAGTTAACTTTTTAAAAGCAGTGCAAAAGGCCAATAACACCATTATTTCGCCATTATGTACATATGAACTGCATTTAAGTCCAGGGATCTCACCAAGATTGTAAACATAAACTCCCCATGCCAATCAGAAAACGTCAGCACTGGGAAATCTTCATTCTTTGCACTGTCCTCTATAGCTCCTGCAATTTAGGCAGTGCAAGCTGTCAATAGCACTGACAGCTGGTTAAATCAATTAATATGACAGAGATACAAGATCAGTTGAAATGATGACAGTAAAATGAATGATGTTGCCACCCCACACCAGATCCCAAGCACAATGCCATTGTCCTGTATCCCCTCAATGTCTCCATACCCATGTTTTAATGGTCTACCAGCCTACCAGGTTGTGTGTCAGCCTGCCAGCTAAATGCAAGACACTGCAGGGTTTGTGCCTCCTCTGTTACATGCTCAGTGCTTGTATCTCATTACATCTTATTGTCTTTATCAAAAATCTCTTTTTAAACCCAGTAGTAACAGCTCACTGATTCCTATTACAAACCTAATCATGCCCCCTTCCCTTCAAGGATGGAGCAGATCCTAACTTTCTTCCCCCTGGCCTTGAGCCTGCTGGCAGCCTGCACGTGTGCCCCCCCTGGAAAGGCAGAGCTGGACTCTATAGACCTGGGAAACTTCAACTTGAGCGAGGAGACAGACTGGGTGAACGTCGACATCAACAATTATGTGGACGGATACGACTATGAGGATCCGGAGACCAAGGTGAAGGAGGGTAGGGAAGACAAAGAATGGGACAAATGAGAAAACAAGGGGAGCTGAAACAGAGAGACATTATTCAATATAAACATATTCTGATAATCACTGTTTAATAATGTTTAAAGGCAAGCAGATCTCCTAAATGATCCAGACTGTACACCAGGTATCTGTAGCAACGGTGATGGTAGTTTGTACTGTTAACAGCTGGATTGGGTGACAGTCCTACATAATAAGAATCTCTACGGCTCAAAAACATTTTTTTCAGGATGTGACACACTAGTAACCTAGCCTCTCTGTCACTAAACCTGCTGCTCCGCTTTTGGAATGTGCTTGAGATGCAGATTGAAGTTGGCACGGTGGCACCGCCTTCCACTTTCCCCCCTGCCAATCAGCACACACCATTGCTGACAACCCCGCCCCCTGATGCAGAACAGGAAGTAACTTCCCGCCCACAGCCCACAAGCCCCCCAGTGACATCCCGACTGGACTTTGACAGGCCAGGTCTCTTTGGACCCCAGACTGGGCGGGGTGAGTATAAGCCAAGCAGGGGCTTCTAGAATGTCAATTATGCATATTAATTTTTATTTTATATTAGGAACACCCTAAGATGTTCATATATTAAGAGGTTCCTAATATTTTGGCACTAGTGAGTAATTCACTGTGCTTGTCTCTGTCTGCCTACAGGCATGCCCACCTGCCTGCTCTGTGTGTGCCTGAGCACCTCGGTGTACTGTGACGATAGCGACATTGAGCACGTGCCCCCGTTGCCAAAAGAAACGACCTACTTCTATGCCCGCTTCAACAGAATCCAGACCATCAGGGCCACCGACTTCCTCAATCTGAGTATGACCCTATAGGGCCGAGGCTGGGACAAAGCAGGGGTGGGGGGTCATGTCTGTTCTCGCCATCAGCTTGTTACCAAGGGCAACTTCAGGAACACGTGCGTGTCAAAATTCGGCAGCCAGAATCCTGACCAGGTCTAGTGCAAGTGATCACATTACTCCTATCCTGGAGTCCTTGCACTGGCTTCCTGTCAAGTTTCGTGTCGACTTCAAAATCCTCATGCTCACCTATAAGGCTCTGCATGGCTTGGTACCTGTCTGAGCTATTATCGCCCTACTCCCCACCTCGCAACCTTTGCTCTTCTAATTCTGGTCTCCTAACTGTCCCCGTCTACACTCTATGAGGGACAGGGCCTTCTCCTGTTATGCCCCAAAGCTCTGGAACTCTCTCCCCAAGGATATCGGAGAGTCACCTTCTCTAAACTCCTTCAAATCCAGACTCAAAACCTTATTTTAATAATAAAAGTTTACTATTATTATTGTCTCTGTAACTGTAGACTGTGCTAGCCAATCCATTTTGGCATGCATCTAAAAAGAACGAGCATGGATCTTTTTAAGTTCATTTTTTTCATTGAATGTGTCTTTTGTATGGTAGGTGTTTGGTAGCATTACACCCCTCAGACAAGTGAGTTTCCCATGAGACTGAGGACAGATGAAGTTCAGCTTGGGAAAGGAGCTTTAGAAATGACAGGCTGGCTTTTGTGATGCAATTCCGTTGGGATCTTACAATATTAGTCAGTGACAGCTGATGCTGTGAAGTCCAGGAGCAGAAGCACAGCCCTGACGGAAGGTGTATCAAATACTTTGCTGCTCCTGTGTGTGTTTCAGAAAAGCTGAAACGCATCGACCTGACTGGGAACCAGGTTTCAGAGATGGACGAGGACTCCTTGCGGCTGCTTCCCGCCCTGCAGGAGCTCCTGGTGCCTGATAACAAACTGTGGAGGCTCCCTGAGCTCCCCGGCACCTTGCGCTACCTCGATGCCAGGAACAACCAGCTGATGACCGTAGGGATCCGGCAGGAAGCCTTCAAGGTTAGGCAGACTCCCACACTCCTTTTCATCGAAAAGGCCACAGTATGAGCTGCACTAGCTCAGGGTCTTTACAAGTCAACTGTTCAGTTCGACTTAACTTGACTTACTGAATGTTTATTGTGGATGGCAGAGTGGCGCATTGCTGCTTTGCAGCGCTGGGGCCCTGGGTTCAAATCCAGACCTGAGGTGCTAGCTGTGTGGAATTTGTATGTTCGCCCCATGATCATGAAGGTTTCCTCTGCAGACTCTGGTTTCTTCCTGTTTCTTCCCACAGACAAAAACAAAAATTGGCAGTTTGATTGGCTTCTAGGGAAATTGGCCCTGTTGTGTGTCTGTGTGCCCTGCAATGGACTGGTGTCCCTTCCAGGGTGTACCCTGCCTTGTGCCCTGTGCTTGCTCTCCTGACCCTGAGCTGGATAAAACTGTTTAGAAAATGGATGAATGGAGTATTTATCATATAACAGTAGCATGGCATTTGTTGTGCTTCTTCCTAAACTCTAGGAGTTGTGGAATGAATTCCAGGCAGGGAAGCCTTCTTGAGGGGAGTTTGGTTGTTCTCCAAGGTTTCATGTGTGTTTTTCCCAGGTAGTCTGATTTTCTCCCACCTCTACAAAGCAGGTTATCTGACTACTATGAATTGTCCATCCCATGTGGAAAGAAGCTAGGCAGCTCACCCACTCATACATCCACCCTTTCAGGGGTAGTTTGAACCACTGCACCCCAACACCATAACACCATAACATCATCATCACATGATGAAGAAGAGTAAGATGTGTAAAAAGCTCGGTTCTTTTTCTCACTTCTAAACTTGGCCATTGCTAATGTGGGAGGAGTTATAGTGGGTCATAAATGTATTTTGGAAAAACCCTCTCGTGATGAACTGTTCCAAATGCAGGAGACTCTTTCAACAGCCTATCTGAATGGTGAATGGTGGAGAAATAGCTCCACCTTTCTGTCAAGAAGTGCCTGCGCGTCCGCAGTGTGTTTTACCTTTTCTGCTTGTTCTGGGTAGGATCTGACCCACCTGGAGTTCCTGTACCTGTCCCACAATCGGCTTGACTTCATCCCTCTGCCTCTGCCCGACAGCCTGCGGGTGCTGCATCTTCAGGTACAGATCGCATTTCCCCTCGTCGCACGCGCCATCAGTGCTGATCTCCTTCCCATTAGCCCTCGAGTCCCCATGAGGAAGCAGCTGAAATGTTTTCTAGACACCCACAGCTCTCTGCTTCATTAGTGATAATGACTCATTACTGGAAACATGACTGTATTCAAGGTCTTGATTTGGCTTGCAGGCTGCCAAAGCCCGAGACGTAATTAAGCTAAACTCTTGGATGATGTGTAAGCAGTCTAAAAATGGGAGCAAAGGACACTGCTGTTGTCTTGTTCACATCATTCTGGCACGACCCCCGGTCTCCTCACACCAACTGACATTTCAGCCAAAAATCCGATTTATCCGGTATTTTTGCCGTGTGCGTGCAGTTTTTCACATCGGCTGGCTGGCTTGAAGGCGCAGCGGGAGGACAGGAAGGGACGAAATGAGGTCCAGAAGAAGGCAGGAAGCAGTACGGTTTGAGAGATTACCTGAGACCGTTTTCGTTACGCCCTCTCCTCCCCTCCAGGGCAACCGCATTCAGACTCTGCACGAGGAAACCTTCTGCCGCAGCCATGACGCCAGCTACATCCGCAAGGCCCTGGAGGACGTTCGTCTCGATGGGAACCCCGTCAACCTGAGCCACTTCCCCGGCGCCTACTACTGCCTGCCGCGCCTGCCCACGGGGAGGGTGCAGTAAGGGGCGTGAGTGGTTCCAGTCTGGGGAGGGGTGGGGTCTGAGCTCTTGCGGACCCCTGCTACAAAGCTCTGGAGCTGCATGGAGCGATTCCCTCCCCTGTCCTCCAAGAAGCAAATGGAAAAAAATTCAGCCAGGCCTCCCACAGTGAGACAATACCGGAGACATATATAGTCCGGAACCCTACATTCAGAGGTTCGGAGTGTCTTTTATCCTAGACTATAATGAATGTTTTCGTTGCTTTAATTGCTAGGTAGATTTTATTGCACAGTTCTTCTTGTTGCGTCAAACGGCTTCACAAAATAGCTGTCTGCACTAAAATTAGCGCGTTTACAAAAACACTGACTGCTGCTCTAGAGCTGGAGAATGCTTTGGATTAAGCTCCAATATCACAGGAAAATCACATACATGTATACTATATTTTGTTTGCAGTGTGCAGTACTTGGAAGTGTTGTGTATAAAACACAGTTGCCTTCATTCTGATATACTGTATCCATGCTTGCATATCTTGCCCAGCAGTGTTGGGTTGTAACCTTTTTTTCTCAGTTTTTAGCGGAGACCAGCTAAATTAAACTTAATTACCTTTTGAAGCTTTGTTCTTGTTGATCTTGGTCTTAGTTATTGTTTCAGTGATGAAGCTTTGCATCATCTCCACCATCCTTCCGGAAAACCTGATTTTGGAGTGAGTTACTACCAGTCAGATGAGACAAGATGAATAATAAATGTCAGATGTTACAGTATATACAAAACCATCCAGAGATTTTACTATTTACTAATTTGTAAATTAATATTTCTTAGGATGCTGAAGCTTCAACATTTCTGGCACAGGTTTGTTTACTTGGGTTGCTTTAAGCATGAACACCAGCTATTGGACCTTCATCAACTGCCGGAACAAATGTGCTCGTTAGCAGCACTGCATTTTCATATTAGTGCCACAAGGGGGCGAGCTCTCACAATGTATCTTACCGATTCGTTCTATTACTCACATCTTATGTAAAACTTGCCTTTTTTTTTAGTTGATTCATTTCAGAATCCGATTTGTATGACCTTTGTCTTTAAAGCTGACAGACTCTTCACCCATTGTCTGATGATGAGGCAGAGAAACTAGTGACACTTTCTCATAGGGATAAAATCCAGTGGGGTATTTTGATCAGCCACTCAAAAGCGACTTGCATGTCTTTAAAAAGGAGAACAGGAAACAAGAACAGCTGGTGAAAACCCAGACAAACCTGAAGTGAACGTGCAAACCCAAAGCCAGAACCACGCCCAGCACCCTGGCGTCGTGAATCAGCAGGGCTAACCACCGTGCTGCTTCATGATTATCTTTAACCGTGGAACAGGGGAAGGATGCTTACCAAGTAATAATCTAAAGAGGAGTTTTTGCATGAACCCTGAGCTGTGTGATGAGCTCCCACTGCCTCTCTTTCTCTGCTGTTTCTGGGACTTTGTGTAGCCTCCCTAGCCTCACCTCCAGCTCATTCAGTTAACATGAGTGTGTGCCTGCCAAGGCAGGGTGTTAAGGAGGAAGATCCCGGAGCTTGCATGTGAGAAATTCCGTACACATTAATCGTCTCCGATTGTTTTATACACTCACGCTAGAAGAATAATCCTGCTCGTGTTCCCTCATGAAATGACAAGTTTAGGTTCTAAGGAGCTGTGCTGGAGACTGGAAAACACCCTAGCAATGCGATGGTTAAGCTGTGTCAATTAGTGGAATCGTGTGGACTGCCCGAATGCATAACGGGGCAGCGAAAGGGCGCAATGGCTACATTGTTTGGCCCCTATCCATTTGGCATCAGTTAAGCACGACACATGGCAGAAAAACAGCTGTCTGTTACAAACCAGTAATGACCACTAAATCAGCCGACTGTCAGTGCTACAGTGCAGCACTGCCTCCCTCTTTTAACATGTCCGTAATGACTCCTGAGGCTCTGCTGTTCGGTGACCCTAATAATGAGCAGGAAGAACCTTGTTCCTTGTTCCTAGTGCTGTCACCTTGATAAAGAGGTAGGATGGCTGGGGGTGTGAGAGCTCTTCATTCTCAGCGTTCAGCTACTCCTTTGCTTTATTTTTATGATCACAAGCCCTAAATCACTCCTTTATATCTTACTGCAGCACTGTCAACTAAAAAAGCCATTTTTATAATGAACTGTGAGACACTCCTTTATAACCTCGAGTCTAAACAGTGCTGGGAAATGAAACATTCTATTATAAGCTCTCTGGCACCGTAGCTGCAGTCTTCAGCAATAAAACACCTCATTCCTGGCACACTCCAGCACTTTCTTTCTACTTAATAATGAATGCAGAAGTATTGCCCCTGCCAACACACACACACCCCGACGTTTTCTGACACCTTAACAGAAGACCAGCGACGTGGTTTACTCTGCGCTCTAGCACATTAATAACGAGCTCATCGTGTTCGGCTCCACAGTCTCTCCATCCTCTTCCCGAAAAAGCAACGACACATTGACAGCAAGTACTCGTTCCTCTGCTCCGCCAGTAGCTTCAATTTAATAATTCACACGGAAGTCACGCCTGAACCCTTTTACGATGAGCGCAGAAAGCCGTGCTTTTCCGGCAGCCCGCACGTACAGGGAAACATCTCCTTCTCCATCTAAACGTGCCGGAAACTTCCTGCGAGCGAATTTAAACCCCGTGCTTTGAGATTTCTCACAGCTGAGCTCCGTGGCACGACAAGCTCATCCCTCTGACCCCGCACGCTGGCCTTATTCAATAACCAATTCTGTGTAAAAAGTCAGGTTTTCTTTTTTTAACCTTTTGCCTGATTCACTTCGTTTTTTTTGTGTGTTACAAACGCTGTTTTGAAGTGGTTAATTGGTGCGCAGAAGTCGCATCGGATGGAGGAGAGAGGACATGGCTTCTCTTGCTAAATGCGAGCTTGGCTGGGAGCTGCAGGACTAGTTTCTATCGCTGCACTGCCTTCCACCCCCACCCCTCCCTGCTCTCTGTGTCTCGGCATGAAGGTGACCTTGGGCGTCACTGCAGCTTACGTTCCTCTATCGATTGGTTCTGGGACAACCAGGGGGCTTCCCTCCTCCTAATTGCAGGAAGGGAGTAGCACAATAAACATCAGAAATATCGTGTGTGTGGGGAGGGGGGGGTTTGCAAGGAAGAGTAAACCACATCCATCTTCTGTCACTGAACAAGCACGCCCAAAGCCATCAAATAATTGAGCTGAGCTACTGCTGAAATTACATTGCAGCCCCCTCCCTCCCACACTCTGAGACACACACAGTCTGTCTCTCTCCCTCACGCGTACACACACACACACACACGCACGCACAGAGACACACACACTGCAGTGGTACTGAGTGATGTGGTACGAAATACACTAACTCCCACTGGTAAATCATTGTAGAATTTCAAAGACGCATTTTATTCCGACAGACAGTGGCACAGTGGCTCGCATTGCTGCCTCGCAGCTCTGGTGCCCTGGGTTCGATTGCAGACCCGGGGTGGAGTTTGTGTTGTCTTCTCCCTGTATTTGTGTGGGTTTCCTCTGGGTGTCCATGTTTCCTCACAGTCCAAAGACATACTGGTAGCTTAATTTGCTTCTGGGAAAACTGGATCCGGTGTGTGTGTCTGTGTGTGCCCTGCGATGGACTGGCCTCCCGTACAGAGGGTAGCCTGTCGTGTGCCCATGGCTTGCTGTGGCAGGCCCCAGCCCCCCGTGGTCGTGAATTGGATGAAGCCTTTAGAAAATGCTTTTAGAGCTGCAGGCTCCAATTCCAAACATCCTTCTTGGGAATGTTTAGCTCGGGCAAGTGATGATTTCTATAATGCTTCCAGTTTGTCAGTTTAGTAGTGGGGGTAGAGAGACTGTGTTATTGTTGAAAATGCCTTGCCTATCTAGGGCCCTGGGTTCGATTCTGGACTGGGTTGCCTCTCTACGGAAGCTGCACGATGTCTGTGTGGTTTTTCTCCAGGTGCTCCAATTTCCTCCCACAGTCCAGAGACATGCTCTCCAGGTCAGATGACATCTTCGAATTGGCCCAAATATAGCTGGCAGGTTACAATGTGTTTCTGACTCAGTGCAATTCTCTTAGGATGAAAATGGTTGGTTAGATTAAAGAAACTCAGATTTCTTTCAGTGGTTATCAGCTCCAAGGACCTGTCTGGGTAGTAAGTTTGAAATTCCCACAACCTTCTTGTACAGAAGTGCCTCCTGCTCTCACTTTTACAGTAAATGCTCTCTCCCATAGTTTCCACCTGTGTACTGTAGTACTGTACTTTACATGTTCATTGCAGAAAAGATAGACATTTTTTTAAAATGCAATTAGCACTAGAATAAAGTTAGTCCAGTGATGCTTTTGTACCAGTAATCAATCTGTTCAAAGACTGTATAATGTCCTTTGTAATCTATCTACAGATATCAAATTATTTTGGCATGAAATGATACATACTGTATCTTTTTATGTTTATAACTGTATGAAAAGTAATGCAAAGGTAAATTTAATAAATTAAATAGAAGGAAAATGTATTAATGCAACTATAAATCAGATGTATTCATCAGTTTTGTTCAGAGCAGAGGATGAAAGTGCCAACTTAATGTTTTTGGTCCTGTATCATACTAATGATCTTTTTTATGATACACTGCATTAAGAAAATTAAGGATCACTGGTCATTCATAAATTCTAAACCCTTACACCCACCATTCTTCTGCTGTTCATTCTTGGCTTTCAACTCTACCTGGTAGTATTAGCTTTTGAGAAAAGAGAAATGTTACTGTTACAGCAAATGACTTTATCCAGTCAGTCCTAGTAGTGTACGTAGTTGTTATCATGAATCACTCTTAAAATGCGCATAGGGCTTTAAGGTGATCTTGTTCAGGCTACCTGTTATTAAGAAACCCACAGCTCCTTGTATAGGCATCAGTTCTAATTATCAGTCGTAGGACCAGGATTAAACGGCTTCAAAAGCCGTCCTCCGCAGTCAGCCGCAGGAGGAAGGAAGCAGGGTGAAGTCAGTGTGTCCATCCACGGCTCAAATCCACACAGCAGTAGAAAAGTGCTGGCAGGCACGAGTGGGAGTCTGAGCGTGGGTGTGCATGCGTGTTCGTGATCAATAACTGAGTGCAGACAGCGGCCACTGTACGTTTGAAGGCTTATTTCGATTCTATTCACACTCCTCCTCTGTGTGTGTGTGCGTGTTGGGGGAGCAGCTCTGGAAAGACAGCTGCAGAAATCTTCAGGAGGGGAGCCTTCGCTGCACATAGCCAGAACTGGGGGAAGCTTATTTTATACTGTAAATCCTGTGATAATAGAAAGATGTTCCTCTGTAGCACAATAGGACTGCCAGGGCTTATCCAAAACTGAGGGCTCCCAGAACTGTCAGCTGAGTATAAGGAAGACTTAACCACTGGCGTGCTCGCATGAGCTGACCAGCACATCTGGAGATGTAACATACTGTACTGTACAGTACACTATGGCACAGGAAGTTGCATCTGAAGTAGCAGTAGCAGCTACTTCTCACAAATGCTGGTCCTCTCATTAATGAAAATGTCAGAAATTAATGGAGAATTAATTTAGTTCAGTTTTAAACATTTTATTATTTCCGAAAATGCCAATAAAAAGTAGTAAAGTATTTAAAGACCTAATGTTTTTCCAAACTAGGGGAGGGGCAGGCTCTTTTGAGGGATATTGTTACAATAGCAATTCAGTAGACAGATACAGCATGGTACATTATGGATTTTTTTGTTAATATTTGATGAATAGCAGCATTAATAGCAACACTATAGTTCTAACATTTCAGTTTGATTTTCCTTGAAAATATCCCAGTTGCCAAAAATGAGCCATTGATTTACAAATTGACAATTTGTAACAGCACTTTAAGAATCAGGTAAGCATCTGCACATTGTATTGATGCAGCGAATCTGCAATGTGGGTTAAAGTACTGTGACCACAATACTGCACTGCACTCCAGTAACACGGCAGCATGGCGTAAGACCATAAGAAAGATTACAAACAAGAGAAGGCCATTCGGACTATCTCTCCAAAGATCTCACCCAGGCCTGTCTTGAAGGAAGCCAAAGTACCGATCAACAACCAGTCAACAAAGTCATACTGTAGCTGGGTGGTTTGTTTTTGATTCCCACAACCCTTTGGGTAAAGAAGTGCCCCCTGTTCTTGCTTTTAAATGTACAGTACTTTCACATAGTTTCCACAGTCCCCTGGGTCATGTTTCACTGTTCCTTCTGAAGACTTCTGATCGCTTGTAACAGGTCCCCTGGTAGAAAAAGAAAAAGCTTCAATTAGTGCAGATCTTTCCCTTAAATTCCAAAATGTTTCTGGTGCCTCTCCTCTGGGCAGATTCCAGAGTAGCAACATGGCTGTTTATAAAGCCATTCCTCTTATTCTTTCTTAATCAACAGGGCTGCATAGTGCTGTATCGTCTAAGGAGTCATAGAACCTTCCAAAGATGGAAAAATAGCTTCTTGTTCTTGACGTCCTCTGAAGTGGAAACAGTAAGCAGTTAAGTGACTTAAATAAAGCAAAGAAGGAAAAGACGTTTATATCAGTTCATTCACATGTGATCTGGTGTTTGTGTTCCTCTTATTCTGAGCCCCTTGTGCTGTGATGTAAAGCAGGCCAGGCCTAAATCTGCACGCTTCCTGTCTCACTATAAACCCCTATTTCCTGTCCCCGTCTTCCTGATGTGGTTGTGCCAGGAGTATACCCAGGCCAGACAGGAGGGGTGCTTTATCTTCTGACATCTCTGCTACACCTGAGGGGGCAATGCACCCCATCTTCACTCACGCTCACACGTCTCACACTCAGGCAATTAGTCTGACAGCACTGCGTCTGTCAGCCTCCTTCTCCTCACCATTCCAAATAAGGCCAGACTGAGCCCAGGAGCCCAACTGCATCTCGCTGCTGCTTCTGAGCAAGTTATTCTTGCATCTCCAAGCTGCTAGATCTCGCATTGTGTCCATTGGAACTGAAATGGTTGTCCAGTAAATTGGTGTTTAGTAAATTAGTAATATATTTTATTTTGAAACCATGGCTTTTGTTGTGCAATGCTTGATTAAATCTGCGGGGGTTTAATAAGGAAATTTCCCTTCAGAATAATTGACTCCAGTCATTTCCAATACTCCAGTTTCATCATTTGAATAATATTATATATTGCTGAATGAAGCACAAATAAATATCTGTGTCTGAGAGGATGCACATATGATGTTCTTATTGCTCCTTGGTTCGTGCTGGATTTAAGAGCTATAATTCGGGTCGGAGCAGTAATGTGTACTGAGTGACCATTGGATCGCTTGGATGTTTGGGCACTGTAAAGTCAAAACATGAGATGAAAAGCAGACAGCTGCTGATCATCAAAAGCTTACAACCAAAAATAGCCAGATAGAAAAATCAAGAGATTCAAATATACATCTGGCTTTAACATTAGGAACAGGATGTAACACGTTAAATAAATGAACTGGATTAAAATGTCTCAAAAGGCTAAAATTAGACCTGTCTCATTTTGAAGACTTTGGAAAGGATTTTGTTTTTAAAAGCATTTTTCTATCTATTCCTACTGGCAGTGTCCTGGAAATTGTTCCATCCGTCAGGATTTGAAATGAAGGTCTCCCACACTTCCTTTGGATTCCACAGAATGGGGAGATTACCAGGCGGAGGCGAGCACAGCTAATATTTTATTCTGTTAAAGAAAAAACTTTCCTGCTGTATTTGCAGAGCCTGACTGGGGTAATACTTTGAGTGTGCGTGATATTGCACTTCACATATGAAAGTGAAAGAATTTTTCCATCCATCTGTCCATTTTCTAATTGCTTCATCCCGTACAGGGCCACAGGGGGGACCGGAGACAATCCAGGCAAGCAACGGGAATGAGGTGAGACACACCCAATATGAGCCCATCACAGGGCACACTGACACACACGCACTCCCACCAGGGCCAGCTCTCCCAAAAGCCAATTGGCCTACCACTGTTTCTGGACTGTAGGACAGAAATGGATTACCTGGAGAAAAGCCATATGAAGACAGGGAGATCATACAAGCTCCACCCTCACAGATAGAGATAGAGACGGAACCAGAATTGTACCAGAGCCCCTGTGCTGTGAGGCGGCAATGCCAACCACTGTGCCAGTGCGCCACCCGCAGGCATTTGTCATTGGGTGATCCACAGTGCTGTGGATGCAAACCTTAATTTCCAGTGAAGCATGTGCCACAGTTTCCTTTAAGAAAGTGCCTGGCATGTGGAATCTGGATTTATAAAGAAGTATCTGTGTTGTGTAGGCCACATCCTGCTAAATGGTCAGAAATTGCTCAGACCCCTGTTTCTACAATCTACCACCTTCATAAGCAATTTTGATCCTTTCATTTCTGTCTTTGTCTCACAGCAAGCTCGTTATTTCTTCTCTGTGGTTTTTCCCTCTTTGGTGACAGATGGCAGCGAGGTGATTAAAAAGGTGTTGGGCGGCTGCTGTGTCAGTCTTCACACTGGAGGTCTTATTCAGAAAAATTCCCTATTGCAATGTGTGATATTTTCTTTTGTACCAGGAAAGAGAATGAGCTGTGAGTGCTGAATCCAGAGCAACCAGAGACATATTTTTTTCTTTTGGTTTTATTTGAAAAGTCAGAGGCTGATTTTACATTTTAGTAGGTTCAAAGTCAGTAAAGTGATCCATGCCAGCTGGAGGTACTTTAAAACATTCTCATCTCGCTCCGGGCTCCATCGAAAAAAAGTGAGCCACTTGCAGTATGCTCTGTAACCTCACTGGGATGATTTGAAAACTTCAATTAAATTTTCATGATAATCTGTTACATCCATTTTACCAAGGTTGCAACCAGCTATTTCCACATGTATCCTTCTTTTGTTTATTTTATATTAATCTGTTTGAAATACTGTGAGAGTCCTTTCTAAAATAAGAGTGTTGTGGGATGCATACTGCCTCAAGGATGAGGGGTAGGTGCTCTTTGTAACAGAAGGTGTGAGAAAGGGAAATCAGTGCTGCTGAGAGTGAACTCTGTCTTTGGGAAACCCCAGCAAAAGCATCTCATCCCTGGGGTCATTCCAACTTTGATTAAAAAATCATCAGGCGAAGTACAGAAGCCTGCATCTTGCCATCACATCAATGAATATTGCATTGCCTCATCTAGGTCATTGAACACCCTTAACCCTTTCCCTGCTGATGCTGTCTTGCTAAGAGCAGTGCATTCACTCTGCGGCTGCATGTTTTGTTTCACATGTTTCAGTTTGTTTTATCCATTTTGTTAATGCAGATTAATAACTTTCAAATTAGAGGAGAAAAAAGAACCAACATTTTAAATCCTGAATTTGATCAAAATCATGAAACATCTCCAGCATTTTCCCCCTTAAGCAGGATTAAACATAATTTAAGACCCTCTTTTCAGCACCGTATATACTGCAATAGTTATTATGAACAAATAGTAAAAGACAGAACACGGCTGAAAGGAGCCGCTTTGCTGTCAAGTTAAAGGAATCATAGACCATTTTAGAAAAGTAATCAGATATTTTTAAGCAAGCCAAAAAATGAGGACTTATTTTGAAATAAACGCTCTGTGCTCCTGGCTTGATTAAGCACAGCATTATATGGTTTTCTAGTCTTTTTTCTAATGGTAGTGCTATAAATTAAGAGGATAAAGCAAGTATAAATATGCTGCAGTTTTAAATGAAGGAAGATATGGTGAACAGACACAGGGATCAGAATGTCAGATTCATTTCCTGGATCCAGATGTCAAAGAAACCGCACGCGCAGCCCGCTGTCAGTCTGGGAGAAAATTTAACACATTCCTGGAAGCCACACCTGCCGTTCCCTCAGCATCTCCTTTCATCACGTTTAATTGCGTGCATTGCTGACCTGTTTCTTTCAAGATCTGAAATTTGTTTCTGTTTTTATGCTCCTCCAATTTAGAGCCAGTGGCTGCCCATCAGCTCATGAGTGATGACCCCTGCTCTAGTCTGTGGGGGGGGGGTTGAGGACAGTGGGCGCCTGCCTCTGAAATCTGCTGTTTTAGCACACTGCAAGTCCCATAGTGCTGCACAGGGGGGGCAGTCTGGATGGGAGAGGCGATGCAGTCGCCCCAGCATCGGCACTCATGCCTACACACCCCTGGCAGCGCCCGATCCGTGATTCACCATCTCCAGTCACATGTAAGTAATGGTACAGCCCAGACCTGAGCCAGTGCCGACTGACCCATAAGGCTCTATCTGCCTTGCAGTTGAGATTTCATATATATATATATGTGCTGCATGTGGCAAAGCACTGCTGTCTCACAGACCTGTGGGTTAATTGGATGCTGGGAAAATGGTCCCTGGTGTGCGTGTGTGTGTCTGATGGGACTGGCATCCCATCTAGGGTGTACGCTGCCTTGTGCCGGTTGCTTGTTAAGATGGGCTCTGACCCCCCTGCAATGCAGAATTGAATGAAGTGGTTAGAAATGAATGGATAGATGAAAGTACCGACAATGAATGGTAATCTATATGGCTTTGGAAGTCCTGGTGACAATTGCGACAATAACCCTGCAGATTTACTGTGATAGGGTTTTACAAGAGAAAGTTTAAGAGCAGCTTGTAGACTGAGGAGTGGCTGACCGAAGATGTATTGTGAACTGAGTGGGCTCACACACTCAGCTCCTATCATGGCGGTTGTGTGTTATGTTGTTAAAAAGATGGGAACCGTGTCATCAGGAGCTCTTTACTAATCAAGGCGGGGGCTGGATGGCATTACATGGGCTAGGAAATAGTTAAACGTGAGTCAGTGCCTGCAGTGCCACAGTGAAAAAGAAGGAAAAGCCCACACACTTCTTTTTTTTGCCCTGTAGGACTAACACTCCAACCTCCATCCTTTTTTCCAACCTGATTCGGCAAGGTGCCCATTAATCTGGAGTTGCGTGTGTGTGTGGGGGAAACTGTTGGCTCAGTCCCTGCCTTGCAGAGAGCTTTCTTCATAATTTCTCAAGCAGAAGGCCTCAACTATTTTCATCACAGAGGCCCCTTAACACCAAACGGCATTGCTCAGAGAGACGGGGAGGATAATTAATATTATTGACATATTTGACTGTAATAATTATGGAGATGATGGCAGGGGAGAGAGGGAGCATTAGCAGACTTCAATAATCCCATAATTAGACGGTCTATGTTAGACAGGGCCAGCCCACATGCCCAGCTGGGGGAGAAATTCTGCCCGATAAACTGTCACTCAGGGGCAACGTCTCACCAGCCAGGAAAAAGGAAAGTTGATCGTCCCTCACCAAAAACAGCAGAGAAGGATAGTGGCACAAGGCCTTTTCCAGCTCTCAGAAAAGTATCGATCATTAAGGAGCAGCCAGCAAAGAGCTTATTGAATTTCCACCTCGGACTGTGTTCATGATGGCTCGGGCACATCAGCCTGCTGCCCAAGCTGAGTGGAAAGGACACACAAACTTTAGCTGCTGGCTAGTAAGTGTTGTGCGCAGAGAAGGGGGAATTTTACCATGCTGATCTCACACTGATTTCATTTAGAGCCCAAGCCCTGTGAAAGGTGAGGAGAAAGAACAGCAAGAGGAAAAGAAGAGGATATGTAACCAAGACTGAATCTTCATTCATTTTATTTCTACCTATGACTGTTCCAACTTTTTCCAAAAATCATCGGGCGAGGTACAGTAGCCTCCTGCATCTTGCCATCATGTCGATGAATATTGCATTGCCTCATCTAGGTCATTGAACACCCTTAACCCTTTCCTTGCTGATGCAGTTTGGAGCCCAGTCTTGCTAAGATCTTAAAATGTTTAGTTTGTTTTATGCTTTATTTACTGCAGATTAAGAGGGCAGGAATTTGATCCCAAGATTGTCTGGTTCTAAAATTGAAACAGGACACCTGCAGACATCATCTTGAAGAAGGTGCTACATTCCTGTTCAGTAAATAGTATGAGATGATTTAGTTAGGAAGTACAGCGTTTTGAAGAGACATTAACTCATTCACCGTCAACACAATGATCTGAAATCTTCCATGCATTTCATTGTCAAGAGCATTTCACAGAAAAGGGTCGACCTCAATTGGAAGAGATGAGGATTAGATCTTTCAGAACAAAAACTTTGTCCTTCTATATTTATGTTGGTCATAATAAAATAATTAGTTTTTTAACGTTGGCAGTGGACTCTCCATTAAGTTCCTTGACAAAATCGCTGAGTAATGTAATACTTTCTAGCCTGTGTGAGATGTACAAAAATACTGCTGTAGTTACTGTCGTGGACATGTATCTTTTGTCTATACTGTCTTTGCAGAACGGTCTAGTCTAGACTGGTGTATCATCTAATGTAGTGGTAGCATCTACATTTATACGGTTGGAAATGGTACTCTTATGTATTCGAAAGAAAAAAATGAGTCTGGTAAATAGCTCAAAGCAGAAACAGAGTGTGACTTTAAAAATAGCCCCCATGATCAATACTGTTGCAGACTAAGGTTTTCCTGACTACAGCAAGAAATACTACATGTACTTCTTTGGATTAGGTGCCCCTAACCTTGCAAAATTTATGCAGTTGGTATGTGCCCCACATGCCGTGGCGGTATCTGTCCAGTAGGGGTCACCACGGAGAAGGGAGTTCCCAGACTTATTAGAATTCAGCAAAGCTATACCGTAGCCCCACACTCCTGAAATATTTAGTAGCTGGAATAAAAGGGACCCCAGACTGATTGCTTCCTGGGGATTTTCTGACATTTCGTGGAGATTGAGACCTTGCAGCAACACTCCATGAAGATCGCTTTTCCCGCACTGTGGGGATTTCTCCCAGAGCGCGGTGCCTTGTAGCGAGAGAGAGAGGAGACGGGGTATGTCAGTGTCGCTGTGAGTAAGAAAGGGGAACATGCACAGGTTCGTGTCTCAGTTGGGGATACTCGCATTCATATCTCTTCTCAAGAAGTGCTAATTTGAAACTCTCGGGCAGTTGCCAAGAAACAAGATGCACAAAGAAACAAATCCAGCTACACTGGCGATGGGCAGATAGACACACTGACACCTTCACACAGCTGAGAAAGACTCCACAGCCGAAAACAACACTGTCTCTTTTCTTTTCAGCATGGAATAAACCTTTACTTGTTCCTAGACACACTGTACCTAGGCGTAGATCCCCCTGACTGAAACTGCTTATAAACCAATATTGTAGCCCTAATTCTAGGTTGAGCAATGTGAAGATCCTATGACTGATTGACCAAATGATTGATTACTGATTGGTTAGCATGGATCAGACCCGTCTGCATTTACAGAGCTTGACAATAAGCTAAACCTGTAAAAAAAAATGCAGCGCGGCGAGTTCTGCAACGATTCCAGACCTGATGGGACGGCGTTTTCTGCAGCCCTCTCTTGATTAATGTCTCCGCTCGGGGTGTTTTATGAACTGTGACAGCGGGACAGGAAAGATAAACTGCGCGGCAGACCCCTGGAGAGCGGCCAGGGCCCGCAGCATCGAGAGAGCCGTCGCACCAGGACAGAAGGGTATTACAGGAGACACCGATATTCCCTCTAGGTATAAGATTTCATAGATTTCTGTTTCTTTAGCGCTGCCCTTGGGGTAACTCCTTGCCTGGACTGACAGAGGCGCAAGTATTCCAGTATTTTAACGATAAACAGGTTGTGGCTCAGCGTGAGTTGAAATGCAGGAGGGAGATGAGGAGGAGGGCTGTCGGTTTTATCCTCTTCCCGGTGTTCGGTCTGACAGGCAGGTTCGATGCGACGTTCAGGGGCTGCAGCGAGCCAGGCCGACCCAGACCTCAGGCAGCCTCGCCCTTCAGGGACAGCGTCTCAAAACCACGGATGAGCTTGGAAAGGATCAAAGTTGTCCCGTGGGCAAGAGACTGTCCAGGCAGTTGGCTTGAAAGATAAGGTGGAGCTTAAGCATTAAAGTTTGGAGGGTGGGCTTGTGACTCTAAGTGTGCCTACCTGTCATACTGTAGGTTAGCAGAAATAAGGGTTCTTATTGTCATTTCCTGAATTCATTAGAAACCGACACGACCTGTGCTATCGCCGAAGGCCTGTGATCAGCGAAGGAAGAGGGGATGTCAGTTTTACAGGCAGCATTAACACTGTGTTAAGGAATCACAATGTTGGAGACCGTCAGACTGCAGGACTGTGGCTGCAGGCTTGCTCTCTCCCAGCGCCTGGCGTTAAGAAGGGCACTCGAAGCAGCGCGCACCGTGGATGATCGGAAGTGGCACGTTTCCCGACTGCACTCTTTCAGTGGGCCGCGCGCGGCACGTTCCTCTGATGAGATGGAGAGCTGCTGGCAGTGAGGGCTCTCTCCGTTTCGCCTTCACGGCTCGCCTTTCCACCTCTTGGCGAATAAGGAAGATGATGCAGCTGTTTCTGAATGAAACGGCCGTGTTCTCGTCCTTTAACGTGATTTTCCCCCATTTCTTTGTGCACATTTAAGTTGTTTTTAACGTCTATATATTTGTCTATATATTTTTGTCATCATTTGTCCTTTTAACTTCAGGCTTAACAACATGATATTCTAGCTGAATTATTCGGTTCATGTTAAACAGTTTTTAAGGACATAGTTAAGGTAAGCAATCACCAGTTAAAATGGATTGCTGTCTTCAAGTATGTGCTTTACACGTCATCAATTAACTCCTTAGGATAGCTAGACAGCAGGCAGGGTGATGTGGCAATTAGCTCTGCCACTTCACAGGTCTTGGGTTTCATTCTGCACTTGAGAACCTTCGGTGGGGAGTTTGCATGTTCCCCCACGTTTGTGTGTGTGCTTCAGTTGAAGCAGGTGCTTCAGTTTCTGTCCACTTCCCAAATACTTTGTGCCAAGATTCGCTGGTATCTCTGAAATTGCCCTGTGATATGCAGCAACATTTTATCCAGTATGTGGTCCAGACTGGCTAACCTTCCACTATAGCATCTCAGATGTAGTGACTTTTACTGTGGAAAGAAAACAAATAGTTTGTCCAGCAATTTTTATTAACAAGACTGTCCATAGAAAAACAAAAGGTTAAGAAAGTATTGCAAAACCCATCCATTCATTAAAAATAGGAAATCAATTCACCGTGTTGTAAGCTCTCCAAAAATCAAATCACATGAATGCATCTTTGCCAGCATCTTAATCATGATGCACAGCTCAGAGTGAATCAACTGCAGCTTCAGACTTGTTAGGTCTTGCTTTGGACTGAGTTAAGTCTCTTCCACAGGTCAGCAGCTGTTGGTGATCTCATCTGAGGAGCCATGATAGGGCGAATGGCTTCCTAATTTGTAACCTTCTTAATAGACTAGCCCTACCACCAGTTTTTTAAATCAAGGGTGCCCAGCTCTGGTCCTGGAGGGCTGGCACAGCTGTAGATTTTCATTCCAGCTTTTAACAACCTAAATCAGCTCGTTAGTGGCTTAATTAGATCAAATTAACAGCTTCTCTCAGCTCTGTAAGTGCTTCTGCTGAAAAGATACCTAGAAAAACTGCAGACACAGCAGCCTCTCCAGGACCAGGGCTAGTTTGGCCACCCAGCACAAAGCTTGAATTTGTTTGGAGGAGAGCAGTAAACATGGACAAATATAGATTTCTTCCAGTCCAGTTTAGTTCTACTTCTCTAAATGTAAAAATGTTGTATTCCCTTGGATATGTTTAATAATAAAAGGCTTTAGACATCACCCCCTACTAAACAAAATGAAATATGAAGTAGCACAGGCACAGTTTATATGATCAGCACTACGCCATTCTTGTTTTATACAGTAGAAGAGTCTAATTAAATGTCTGTATGGCACATGTTCAAAATTTGATGTAGGACCAGTTTCTTCTCACAAAATATTTGCTCTTGATCCTATTAGAATCGACATCGAAAGACCTGTGTGTCATTTTAAATCTTTGTATATCAGGCCTGTTTTAAGTGGGTTATCTGCTTCCTTAAGACCACAGGCATCTCCCTTTCCTTTTCTTCCCTGCAGAATTCCGTAGCACTGACTGCATGTCGTTCCGAGTGACAGGAAGCGAGAGGAGACAGTAAGGAATTTTAAACAGCTGGAAATTGAAATAGATTCTCTTTCTATTGATTTTTTCTTGGCTGCTGTAAAAAGCCTCTCTGTATCCCCATAAATTATAGTTTTATAGCCCCAGCCTCCTCCCATTAAGGCCCAGATATCTTCATGGACGTGACTCAGTGGGACACAGGGTAGTATAGGGAATAGGGGAGGTTGGAGGGGGGGTGGGCTTGAAAATGGCTTGACTGCCATGGACTGGAGTGGGAGGCAAGATGTTCCATTACTCTCCTTTTAAATAGTTCCTGCTCCATGTCAGAGTAACATCATTGCATGTATTTTCCATTGCAGTCATTCACACTGCTGTGTATAAAGAGGGGCATTTACATCTAAATTGCATCTGATGGGTTAGATTGTTTGTTTTTAATACTTGATTGCACAATTCATTTGCTCATTGATCTGCTTACATGTGAATCCCAATGGAATTGTGGAGCGGATGGAACACAAGCTCTCTGATAGAGCAGCAGCCTGACGTTCAGCTGCCAGCCCCTCCCCTATCTTCTGGGTGTCATTCACCTCTAGAGGCAGCCCAGAATTATAGAGCCACACAGAGGAAAATCCCAGAAGATGTTTTTTGCCTTTGCAGTTTTGCTGTGCTATACCATGCACTAACCTTTCTTTGCCATGTTATCCCATGGGTTTTCCAGTGTTCCAACATGCTTCCCTGTTCTTTACCATGGTTTTACACTGTTTTTGGAGCGGTGGCACTGTGACTAAGGCTCTGCACCTGTGGCTGGAAGGTTGCTGGTTCAAATCCTGCGGCTGGCAGAGGAGTCCTACTCCATTGGGCCCCTGAGCAAGGCCCTTAACCCCAACTGCTCCAGGGGTGCTGTATAAATGGCTGACCCTGTGCTCTGACCCCAAGCGTTTCTCCCTGTAAGTGTGTCTCATGGAGAGCAAGCTGGGGTATGCGAAAAGACAAATTCCTAATTCACAAAATTGTATATGGCTAATAAAGTATCTTAATTTCACTCTTACTTGCCCCACTTTACCTGAAGCGTGCAACTGTAAACTTCTAAAAGGGGTTAAAGCATTGGCAAAGTTCTTGTACTTCATCAAAAAGCATTAATCGA